GCAAGCCCCTTCCCCTTGGGAGGCATGCTCCATGCTGTTGAGGCTGCTGAGCTGTCCCTAGCCCAGACCAGCCACCCCTCTCCTGCAGTTTTCCCCTCTCCTGCTTTTCCAGGGTGTCTGATGTGCAGAGGAGCAAAACTTCCCAGGGCTGGGTCCACGTGGTGCCGTGGCAGGAACCCTGCAGCCCCACATCCGCTGTGGGGCAGGGAGATGAGGGTGCTGGCCCATTTTTAAGCCCTGCGGCTGAGTTCCTCAGCACTTCCCTCCCTGTAGCCATGTTTTGCAAGCTCACCTCCCTGCATTTCACTGTCGTGCCTTATAAGTCCCGGCTCCCGGGGCTGCCATCAGCCTCGCTGCATTCCAGCAGCCTCACGTCAAGTGGCCCTTGCTGTGTTGCGGTGGCCAGGGCTGGGGCTCTGTGTCCCCGCCATGGCTCCACCAGTGTCCCCGGGTGCCTGAGAGACACCCCACTGGGATGCTCTCCCGCGGGAAGCGCTGTGGTCCATGTGCCTGAACTGCTGGGACCTCAGGGTGGCTGCCTGGAAGGGGGGGACTGGCTTTGGGATGCTGCGGCAGAGCTTGTCCCTGTCCTCAGCAGGATGGTGCAGAGGGTCCTTTCTGCCAGTGGCACAGGGAAAAGGCTTGGGGGGTGTATTGGTGTGAACGGGTGGGAGATGGCTCGTCTCCAGGAAAAACATGGCACATGGCTGAGGGTGACTTTCCAGCGAGGGGGGAACATCCAGTGACACGGTGTGGATCAGGCACTAAAGCATGTCCTTGGATGTCTCCTAACCACTGGTGGTAAAGGCTTGTGTGCTCCAGGTGCTGTGAGACTGACCCCAGGACCTGGCCAGTTTTGGGGGGCTGGAGTGGCCGCAGCGGTGCAAGCGCAGGGCTGTGGGTAATGCAGCTAAAGGGCTGGTCTTGTAGAATGGGAGGGGAGGGCCAGCCTCCCCGGCTTCTGGGAAGGTTCAGAGCAGTCTCTTAACAAAAGCCCTGCACTGGAGACCTACCAGAGCTGCGGTTGCTGGAGATGGGTACTTGTGATTTACATCTAACATTTCTGACATAACTTGACCCTTGCTGGGCTCCTGGTCAGTGTCTGGCTCTGCTTGGGACACCCTTTCAAGGGCTCCTGTTTAAAAGGAGCTGTGGCTGTTGTAAGACCCATACTGACCTCCTGGCAGTGCTGGAGCTGTGGTGGAACAAGGCAGATGTTGTTGCTTGGCTTCTTCAAAGCATTGGTGCTAAGTACCCAACTGTTCTTGCACTAGGTGTGCATCTCCTTCTGGGAGACGCAGCTGTACAAGGACTGCTTTAGAGCCACCAAGGACTCGAGCACTAAATGGGTTTGTCCTTGTCCTTCCCTCCTCCTGCGGGGGAAGCTGTGCTGGGATCCTCCCTTTCCAAGAGATGGCCTAGATGGCCTTGTCCCTCCTGGCACAAATCCTGTTTTCTATGGCTCCCCTCCATCTCTGCCGGGTGTTTGGACTGGGGACACCCCGGGGGAAGGGGGAGAGTTTTCTGCAGGGCCTCCAGCAGCATGACCCCGCTGGGCTGTCCTGGGCGAGAGCTGCTCCCTGCCTCACTGCCCCGCTTTTCTCTGTGCATGTGTCCAGTTGGGATCAGTCGTCCTGGGCGAGATGGGGTTGCTCTGACCTAGTATCTCATCTCAAGTCTAAGAGCAAGCATTAGAGCAAGGTATTTCTGGAGAGCTGTTTCTTCTGTATCTCCAAGCTCCTGCTTAACATGCAGTTTGGCCCAGACAATTCCTGATCTAGCCCTGGATGGATTTGTGTTTTTTTTTTTTTTTTTTTGGTCCTGTGGCTTTTCCAGCTGATCTGTGAGGAGGCTGAATATCTACATGGGCCCGGTGTTTGGTGGCAGGGACTTGAAGCAGGAAAAATCCACTTACACAGAAGCCTACTGTGCCTTGGCATGTTGAGTGTGAAGGCTGGAAGCCTGGGTTTTTCAGCCCTGGGTGGTCCTTGTGCCTCTCAAAGCCTGCAGGACTTGGGTGGCAAGGGGGGTCACTGGAGAGTCCCCGTTCAGTTAATCCACTGGAGGATGCTTGTCCAGATTCTGCTGTTGCCCATGTCTATAGTTTCTTCTTTTTTGGGGGAGAAGTGGGAGGAGGCTGGACCAGGGCTGCCCACAAGATGCTTAGACTGGCAGGTTGCCTCCTGCTTTTAACCCCATCTCCTTTGCTTTCTGATTACTGCTGATCCCATGTTTACACCTGATCTCGGAAGCCTCTGGCTTACCTTGCTCTCTCCCTCAAATCAACCACTGGAGTTTCCCACCAGCCTCACCCTCCCTTCCCCGAATAATGTGGTCTCACTTTCCCATCACTCTTTTCTACATCACTTATGGATGTGCTGAATTGCAGAAAACTGGCCACTTGGTCTCATCCCTTCTCCTCTTCTGAGCAGGGACCTTCTTAGTCTGTCTTGAGACACTTGGGGAACCTTGTTTGAAGATCTCAGCTGGTGGCATTTGGGGTTGCACAGGTGTTCTTTGGGGCGATGCCAGCCATCGGTGGGTGCTGTGGGTTGGCTGGGGTCTGCTTTCCAGCACCATGTATGGTGACAGACCAGACCTGGAGGCCAAGGGAAGATTTTGGCCTGCAACAGAAGGTCTCTTGCTCCTGTCCTTGGCAGAAAATTATGGGGCTGGCATTAGAAGCTTGTTACCTCTGACAAAGAGCACCTAGGCACCTGCATTCCTCTGTTCAGGCTGTTGTAAGGGCTCCAAGAAGCTGACTTCTCCTTTCCCAAAGCAGCCGTGCATCTCCCATTGTCATGCCTGTCGCAAGGACTTACCGAGCGACACATCACGGGACCATTTAGAGACCCAACAGGGATGCAGATTTCTATCTGCTTGGAAGAAACATCCATTCTGGGGTCTGAGCACGCTCAGATCCTGAAATATTGAAAAGGGACGGTGCTCTCACATGGCTGAGGCACATGTGTGCCACCACACTCCGCAGTCCTCCCCTGCAAGAGATGGCTGCGCGTCTTCTGGGAATGCCCTGCAGGCCTGCTGAAGTGCAAGCGCTGGAATCTTTGGGGCAGCCAGCAAGCTGAGAGACGGTGCCATGGGGCGTGAGGTGGCCCTGGAGTGATGCATCAAATGAGGGGCTGGGCTGGGCGAAGAGACTGTAGGACTGAGCTTGGGCATGGAAAGTCTTTCTGAAGTGCTCCAGATAGTACTGTGCTTCCCTAGCCAGGGCAAAGCGAAAGCTGGAGTGTGCGGGAGGGCCATCGCTACTGAGGAACCAGGGGAGAGGAAGGATGCCCAGTGGTTGCATCCTGAGATATGCCAGGCTGGAGAAGGGCTCTGCACACCCGTGGGGGGTGGTAGCAGCCTACTGGGGTGTTCACTGGGTGGTAGCAGCCCTTGGTCTCGGCATGCATGGAGAGCCAGAGGGGCAGAGGTCCCCAGGCTTTCATGATCACTGTCTGTCCTGGAGGGCTGAAGCTGCTCTCTGAGTTGATGTGAGGAGGTTCTGCTGCATGCTCCTGTGTTTTCAGGTGGCTGCTGTCTCCAGCCTGGGAGCAGGGCAAGGCTGTGCTGCTCGCTTTGGTGCCAAAAGAAGTTTAAATGAGGTGTCAGATACAACCTGCTTTGGGGAAGGGGAAATGGCTAAGCAGAAACTAAAACGTGAGAGCAGGGCGCTTCTGCCCTGCAGATGTGATGGGCTCACTCCAGACTGGAAACCAGCCGGAAGATGGGCTCTAGCTTAGGGCTCCCATCCTGCCCAAAAGTATCAGGCACTGTGTGGTGCCTTTCTGAGCATTCGGGCATCAGTGCTGTCCCAGGACCTTCTCGTGGCTTGTTTGGGACTGGCTTGGTGGGTGGCATCCCCATGCAGTGAAAAGCAAAAACATGAAGCTCCATCTCACTCCTTCACCTCTCTGTGCTGGCCGAGCTGTGCTTGTGTCTCCTGGTCCTTGTTAATGATGACTAGTGTCTTGGTGACCTCTGTTGTGCGTAGCCTCCCTTTCCATCTCTACTGATTTACAAGAAGTCTTGGTAGCTCCATCAGGATGCTTCCTATGGAAACAGGCTGCCAGCCAATGTCTCCCAGTGCAGGGAGAAGGTGGCTGTGATGGTCTGTTGATCAGAGTTCTCCCAAGCCATGACCCTTTAGCACTGTTTCTTCCTGGCTATTAATGTGAACTATTATCTATAATTTCAACAGGCTATCTATTGAAATCTTCCTCTGGTACTGTATTTTTTTTGCTTATACATGCTGAGTGCGTTTGGACTTGGTACATGCCTTCTACGGCTTGGAAAGAGCAGCAGCGTACGTGGGCTTGGTGCAGCGCAGCTGGCTTTTGGCTGGGCACAACAGAACAAACACTGTCAGAGCTGGTTGGGGAGCAACTTCTGAAGGGTCTGATGTGTGGTGAAGGAGCTGGGATGGACCCAAAAACCATCCTCTCAGTGATGTTCTGGAGCTTTTGCAGAAGTTAAGAAGATGTGATTATAGCAGTGAGGTATTTTTCAAAATTGAGGGCTGACTTTAAATCAGTGTGCTGGGATATACTAAGGAAAGGAGATCTAGTGTATGATCTGTAGAAAGAGCCAGAGAGACAACTGGGGTTTGTACTGGTCTCTTCTGGACCTTTGATACGTGCCAAACTCCGTGGCAGTGCTTTTGGCAGTGTACAGCCTTCGAGCAGTCATTTCAAGTTTTAGTCATCAAGGTCCAGACAGGCTGTGGGGCTGGTGTCCATACCTGAACCAACCCAGACTATTCTGCTAGAGACCAAATTTTTGTAAAGGTCTAAATCCTTTGTGGCAGGGAGGAAACAACTGGGTGGATTTTATTCTGGGAAACAGTCTTCTAATGTAGGGAAGGGTTAGTGCCTGCAAGGCCACCTTTGGTGCAAGGTGTCCTACTCTTATTGCACCTGGCTTCTGAGTTGTGCGCTGTACTGCTGCTTTGGTTCTAAGCATCTCTTTTCAGTAGACCTCGTTGACCTCTTTCCTAGGTACGGACACTGTTTGTCAGTGGCCTTCCTGTGGATATCAAGCCCAGAGAGCTCTACCTACTCTTCCGACCATTCAAGGTAAGGTCTTAAAATTTGGTCTTTGGTGGGAAACATGATGTCTTGTGGCCAACCTTGCAGCAAAGATCTCTGTCAAAGGGAAAGCAGGGATGAAGTGGGAAGGTAGACCTTCTGTGAAAGCTTGGAGAACCTTGTATGAAAGTATTAATGTACCCACTCCTGCTGCAAACCTGCCTTGTGAAGGGTCTGGTGCCACAGGAACTCCTGGAGCTGGCACATTGTGTCTTGGTTGTAGCCTGGCTCCTTCAGGAACCTGACACTGACTTGCTTTCTTCCCTTCTGCAGGGTTATGAAGGGTCACTGATCAAGCTAACTTCAAAGCAGGTACCTCCTTCTTCCAGCTTGGGTATTTTTGGCTTTTGCTAGACGACCAGACATGCCGGGAGGGGGGACAGATACCAGATTTCACTATGTAAAGCACTGTCTGTTCAGCACCATGTATACAGCTGGGTTCTGCTCACCCCCATCGTCCTGGTGGCCCCAAGCTCTCTGCATGTGCTGGATGGCTCTGTATCTTCTGTTGCTGCCCAGGGCTGTATGGGCTAGGTGAGAGCTGATGCTTCAGCCTCAAACCCTGTCCTGCCAGAAACCTTCCCCAGTCCCATCCTAACCAAGGCAGCAGTTTCCCTTGTGAGCAAGGGGTACCTTTGCTGGGGGCTACCAGGGTGAGCAGTGCCCTTGTGTGTAGGAATGTCAAAGAATTTTGGTGTGGTAGGAGCAGACACAGAGCAGGAATCTTGGGCTGATGGCCCAAGAGCCTTCAAGCTCTGCTTGGACGTCCTCTGAAGAGGTAGATGGTATCTTCTGCTTGCTGTAAGCAGTCGGGGCAGAGGGGGTGGCAGGGTAGGCTGAGGAGCTGGAAGAGGCTTCCAAACTGAAATAATAATTATTTCTTTTAGCCAGTTGGTTTTGTGACCTTTGACAGCCGGGCTGGTGCTGAAGCAGCAAAGAACGCCTTGAACGTAAGTACCCGAAGTGCTGGGGAGCCCCACAGAAGGCTGGGAGCCATATGTCCTGCTGTAGCTTGACCTGGAGCTGTGGGCTGGAGTGGTGCTTGGCCTGTCCATAGCATAGGAAAGGTCATAGTGTCTCAGCTGTGCCCTTGAGTATGGAAGCTAAATGGTCCTGCAGCATCCCACCATGGAAGCTGGAGACCTGTTGAAGGCTGACATCAGCCTGAGCAAATGGATGCAAAAATTCTGACCACTGGAAGGTGGCCTCCAGGGCCTCTGAGGGTCTGGGGAAAGAACAGCTACTTACTTGTTAGAGTTGGCATGCCCCTCCTTACTCAGCAGTTGGCCTCTGATAACAGGATCCAGGCTGTGAATCCTGTTCCTTATCCATTAAGTGCTTCCCCCTCTATGAGTAAGAGTTGTGGATGACGAGGACACCCTTGTTCGTTACCTACGTGTGTCGAGGTGTGGCCAGAGCTACTCTTGAAGGAGCTTTTCCTCCTGCTGTCTGCACTGGGTCCCAAGGTGGGGGCTCATCCTGGCCTGACTGCTTGACTTGACCTTAGCTTGGAGCACCTCAAGCTGGCAGGTCTTCTCTAGGGAGCCAACCCTTAGCAAACAGATGAGAACAGAGGTGTTGGGGGCACAAGTGGTTCCCAGGCGTATACAGACATAGGGTGACCCCCAGTTGACACCCTGTAATGTTTTAATGGGGCCTGTGGGGCTCAAGTTGTGTTTAGCATCAGCTTTTTGAAACTCCAGGTTGAGCTTACCCCAGGGTACATGGGTAGTGAAGCAGGCTCATTGCAAATCTGATCTGTCATGTGGCTTAGGTCTTGCTTGGTGCTAGTGGCCTTGTTCAAGCCTCACTTTACCCAGTGCCCTGATGAAAAGTGTGTGGCAGTTCAGCAGAGCAGGCCCTTGCACTGGGCTCTGGCCTGCCAGGACCTCTGCAGCCAGAAGATACCCACTTCAGAAAGGAAGGGAACCAGCCTTCCTATGCTGCTGTTTCCAGGGGAGGACATGAGGTAGGGCCAACGCTGTCTGGTGGATGCTCTTTAGTACATTCACAGCATTTCCAAACTGCTGTCGCTCGAGAAAAAGACACAAAGAAGGTCAACGTGGCAGACACAACCCAAAACTATCTCCATCCTGTGTGTCCTGCAGAAGTTAGTGGGATCTAGGCAGCAAGATGTGTTGGTCTGGTTCTGCCCTGCTGCAGACCTTGCCTTGGGCGTGGGGCTGCATGCTAGTGTCCAGCAGTAGATGTAGCAGCAGCACAGACAGGAGCTCTAGCATAGATGGGCATATCCCAGTGCCAGCAGGCAGATGTTTTTTTTTTTCCTGACCAGTGTTGGTAGCCATGACTGCTGTGTTGGTTGGTGAACCGCACATAAGGAGCAAAGCTGTGTCCCTCATGTTGGAAGCAGTGGTCCTAGGCCAGCTAAACAGATAAGTACAAGCATGTGGGAGCTAGAGCGTGGCAGTGAGGTGACAAAAAACCTGGGCTATGTGACTGCAGCATGATGGCCTTAGTTCCCCAGTTGGGCTTTGCTCCATAAATAGGGACAGCCTGTGCTTAGACTGGAGACCTCACCTCTGAGAGATTCCTGTGCTTTCTTCTATGACAGGGCATCCGCTTTGACCCAGAGAACCCCCAGACTTTGCGGTTAGAGTTTGCTAAAGCCAACACAAAGATGGCCAAGAGCAAGCTGATGGCCACACCAAACCCCACCAATATCCACCCTGCCTTGGGCGCACACTTCATTGCACGGGACCCCTGTGAGTATGCTGGAAGGGACTTTGAGGTCATGGTCAGTGGGAGATGCCCAACCCTGGGAATGCTGCCAGGGTGGCCAGAAAGCCATACCCATGTATGCTCTGGCTGAAATCTGCCTGCTGCAGGAAGGCCAGCATGTTAAGGTTGCAGGAGAATAACAGGCATCTGGTAAGGCTTCTGGTTGATACTAGAAGCGTTGGGAGAGCAGAGTTGGTTTTGGTAGCTCAAGGGATACCATAAGTCCTTTAAACCATCTGATGTGTAAAGCAGAAAGGACGAGTCCCATGCCATGTACCCTCGGCATAGCCTGGAGGGACAAGCGGCCCGTTGAGGCTGGGTGGACAGCCTGTAACGAGGTGCTAAGAGCCCTGTCCTGCCATCCGGTGGCACCAGCCCTGTGCCGTGTGTGTGAAACAGCCTGCCCAAAGCCTGCGTGGGGTGGTGAGCAGTGATGGAGCGTGTTCCTGGCCTCTCCTGGCAAGGCTGGGAGAGCCCAGAGATGCTGCAGGGGTGCTGTGTTCCAAACCTCACTGGGATGGCAGTGCAGAGCTTCACTTTGGGGTTGGACATCCAGAGCCTGTCCCTGAAGCAGGCTACTGAGATGCTGTCCCCTTGTCTCCTCCTGTCTAGATGACCTGACTGGAGCGGCTCTTATTCCAGCGTCCCCAGAAGCGTGGGCTCCCTACCCACTCTACACCACGGAGCTAACCCCCGCCATCCCCCATGCCGCCTTCACGTACCCAGCGGCTGCTTCACGCTCAGGTGAGTCGCTCCCTGCATCCCATGCCAGGAACTGGGCTCTCCTCCCTCCCCTGCCCCCGGTGCTCACTCTGTGGGTCTCTGCTTGGCTGGTTCGACCCTGGCCTCTGCACCTTGGCTCCTGGGCAAAGCCTCCTCCCAGATGAAGTGTGTGGGGGGCCCTGAGCAGACCGTGGGGGAGAAGTCTCTGTGGCCGAGGGCAGCCAGAGCTGGTCAATGATTCCTGACCCTGCAGGTCCAGCCTGCTTCCCTGGTGGAGGCAGGCAGGTGGGGAAAGTCAGGGACCCACTTCTGTCTGGCTTTGCTGGTCCCCATGGACGGAGAACTGTCTTTTAGGACTGCTGGGAGGAAATACTACATGCCAGCAAGTAAAATACCTTGAAAATGCCCTCCCTGAAGTTACAGCAGAGGCAACGGGCTTGGCTCAGCACTGAAGGTGAGGGGCTCAGCTGGAACCCCCTTGGGCCAAGGGACTCAACTGCTTTTGAAGCCAGAGGGGGATGTCCTGTAGGGGATGAGTGATCAGAGCCTTGCCATAGCAAGGAACTCTGGTGGGATGGTGGCATTAGCCACTGGATCCAGGCTAGAGAGGGTCACTTTGTATGGGCCTGTGGAAATGCTGGTCTGGTGCAACCAGCTGCCTGGTGTCCCGGGGATACACTCACTGACAGCTGGAGGTGTAGGGATGCCTGTACTGGTCTGATACTGGAAGGCCTTAACCTACTGAGGCCAACACCCCTGCTGAGCATTAAGTCCCTGAAACCGTGGACATGCGAAGGGAAAGCCAAACCAGAGAAGTAGTGCCCTAATTCCAGGTTAAGGTGCTTGGTTTGGAGAACTCATACAAGAGAACCTGGAGCCCCTGTCTCTACCCTGCTTGGTGTTACAGCCAGCTATGCTCTGCCTGCTTCAGTCTCTGCTCCTGGTGTAGTGCCACAGGGAACTAGGGCAGTGGGGCTCTGGGCTGAGACCCCAGAGCTTTGGGGCATAACCTCTGCTCTCTGCCCTGCCAAGTAGGGTGTTTAGCTCCACTCTTCCCTGCTTAAACTGAAAAGAAGAGCAGCTGTGTCCCCTCACCTTGCCCGCCTGCCTGATGGTCATCTCTGTTGGCCCTCTGGCATGCCCTTGCTCCCGCAAACATCTTGACTGTAACTGCCCAGCTTCAACCTGAGCTCGTTTCCCAAATGCAATATGGAGGCACTGGATGGATGGATGCAAACTCCTGGCCTATGTAGGCTTCTCCATCCTGCCCCTCGCTCACTCGCAGGCTTCTGCTGCTTCTGCCCCTCTACTGGTGAGCTAGCGCTGGGCTGAAGCTTCTGCAGAGTAGGCAAGAACGTGGGGCCCAGAGCAGGACCAGGCACTGTCTTGTTCTTTCAAGACCCTCCAGAGCCAGGCTGGTCCTTCACTGGGAGGGTTCTGCTTGCTGGTGCTCTCCAAAAGTTATTGATGGTGCCCACAGCTACAGGAGCATCTGAGTGTGCTCTGCTTCCAGGCAGCCCAGGAGAGCACGTGTCTTGCCTTCCCTGCCCTTTGAGCATAGGGTGGTGGAGCCAAGGGCTGTTGCCAGCTGGATTGCCCCTCGAAGGGAGGAGCAGGAAAAATTCCCTCTGGCCTGGCTGAGGTGGTTGAGGGAGGTGAAACCATTACTGCAGGTCCTTGGAGGATGATCATCAATGAGTGTATGGGGACCCTGAGTGTAAAGGTTAGACACCAAGACTTTGTGTTGTATGGTGGGGGAGACAAACCCTCCCCTCCTAAAGCAGGGTCTTCAGCCAGATCTTCTCCCCCTGGGGTCTTAGTTCCTCCCATCCAGTTGGCAAGCTACTTGTTCTGGACAGATAGCTTAGCTGTCAGAGTTCTTCTGGTCTGAAGAGTGACCCTGAGGCTCCAGGGAGCTCCCTGTACAGGTGGGACTCCATGCCCAAGGAGGTCCATAAGCAGTGATGTGCCCCTAAGCCTTGGGGAGCCAGTGTAGTCTCTCCAGGCCGTGGCCATGGCCAGACCCAGCTCTCCCCTGAAGAAGAGCAGCTGGGCTGGCCCAGCGGTTACAGCTGCTCCTCGCTGTGTCGTGCTTGAGCCGGTGGTGACCTCGCAGGGAGACGTTCTGGCGCAGTATACATTACCAATAAAGTTTTATGGGGTTAAACATTACTCAGGCTGGCAGCTTGGAGCTGCCCGGTCTCTAAGCTGGAGCCCTTTCTCTTGCAGAGCTGAGGCAGGGTGGAGCGAGTCAGTGAGATGACTTTTGCTCACAAACTGGGCTAAAAGCTGTAACCTTGGTCTTGGTGTGCTGAGCCCTCTGCTCTCAACGGTAGGGGCTGGCTCCCCGGGGGGCATGGGGGTTGTTCTCCAGGACACCTGCAGTTCTTTCTCCCGAGACTGGTGTTGGCTGGAGTGTGTTCATGGGGATGGCCAGAGCTGTAGCAGCTCTGTAGCCTTCAGTCCTGGAGCAGGCATGAAGTTGAAGGCAGCAGCTAAGCTGAGAGCTCATTGCAAAAGATTTAAAGCTGAAGTGCTCATCCTGTCGAAGCTCTGTGTTCAAGCCTGGTAGCGAGCAGAAGAGGAGGTGGCTGCCCTCTGCAATGCACCTATGCAACCTCCCGAAGAGCTGCCCAGAGGGCTGGCAGAAGTGACAAGGGGCAGGAGATGGTGCGAGGCTGCCCTGGCCTCAGCTCGTACACTGGGAGCCGTTGGTAAGCCACTCGCAGGTGGCACCGATGGCTGCTGCCGGCACCGCCCAGCTGCCATGCCATGGCGATGGTCCCGGCACGCACCGGGCTGCTGCAGATGTGACCATGGCCTGATTCTGTCCTGCCAATAGCCTCCACCTGTGGGGACTCCAGTGACTTGCCCCATCCCTGGAGGGGTTCAAGGCCAGGCTGGATGAGGCTTTGAGCAACCTGGGCTAGTGGGAGGTGTCCCTGCCCATGGCAGGGGGTGGAACTGGATGATCTTTAAGGTCCCTTCCAACCCAAACCATTCTATGGTTCCATGATTCTATGACTTTAAGATTGTCCCATCTGCCTTCCCACCCTCCCACTCTCTCTCAAATCCCTCCTTTGATGTCCCTAGTGAACTCCAGCCATGATGCCAGCGCAGGCTAGCCCTGAAGCTCAGAGCTGTCCCTGGAGATGGGACACCCTAGTGATGCCTTATTGCAGCTAGTGGAGTGGCTGTCCTACAGCTCCATTCCTAGAAGTGTTAAACATGATGGCAGCCACGTCTGGAAAGACTGGTAAGGTAACCATCTCTCCTCCAAGGTGCACCATGGGATTTGCAAGCTTCTGCCCATCTCTGTAGCCCGTATCTCCTTGGCAACCCAGTGCATGGGCCTCACGCTACCCACCCACCAGAGCCTGGGGAATGAGATACCAGGCCTTCTTTCTAACCCACATCTCCAACTTGGCAGCACATGACATGGCGCACACAGCATGGCACCATCTTACGTCAACTCCTCCCAGCTGAGCCAGGCTCAGCCAGATCCTGCCAGTGGGAGGGGAGCAGCCTGGTTGAGCCGGGGCAGAGACAATCCTGCCACTCGGTTTGAAAGAAACCTGGTTTCTCCCCAACCACAACCCCTTGAGGGCAACCAGAAATACACCTTGACCTCACTCCTGGCACACGGTGGGGGAGGTGAGTGACGTGATAGTGATAGCACACAACTAAATTCTAGTGGGCACGTTAGACAACAGCACTTGCCGGTCACTTTGTTCCAGAATTGCATACCAGGACAGACCCTGTCCTTAGTCATGGGTCTAATCTCACCTCTTTCCTCTCCAGTTACTGAAAATTGAGCAAGTTCCTACGTGGAGCTTAGCTTCTCTCTTGCAGCCTGAAATCACAGGCAGGACATGGGTCTTGCAAGTTGTAACGAAGGGAATCGGCAGCCTGGGAGAGATGGGAGTGTCATAGGAAACTGGGAGCTTGGGAAGAGGGAAGATGGTCTGGCCTAGGACTGGTTGGCAGGGAGGATGGTTGCTGTGGTCATCTCTGAAGGAACCGAGTCCTGGCTCACTTCTTGCAGCAGTTCTGGGTAGACTTTTATTTTTTTTCCTCTGTGTGGTAGTGATGTTGGGAAAAGAGTCATCAATGATGGGGGCCCAGCTCTGCCTTTGCCCTTGGAAGACTGGGGTACCTTTACAGAGCTGGTCTTCTGGGAAGATGGGGAGTGCTTGACAAATTGATAGAGACAATGACTCAATGTGTTGTGTCTCGGCACCAAGCTCTGAGTGGGCAGGAGGAGGCACGAGGGACTACTGATACTCCTGGAGCTCTTCTGCAAAGCTGTGCTTCCAGCTGTGGCAGCACCCTGAGAACAGGACTTGCCCTGGAAAGTAGAGGCTGGATGCAGGATTGTTCCATAAGAACATCGGTGAGGCTGGTGGTGGTTACCATGTGGTGTTTGTAGAAGACCGAGCTGACATGTTGGGTACCAACATGTGGTAGATGCTGGACTGAAAGCTCACAGCTGCCCATCCTTTTGGGCCTGGGCTGCCCAAGGTGCACTCAGAGCCTCCACATTGCTGCTGCTGGCAGCAGCCTTGTCTGGAGGCTTTGAGGAGATGGTGGAGGTGGGACCTGTCCAAGTGAGTGGGTAGATGGAACAGTCCTGTATCATGGCTCTGTGGTGGTGATTGTTTGAGAGCCCAGCAGAACCCTGAGGCCTCCCAGCACCGAGTTGAGGCAGAGCCCATCAATGGAAGGGGAGGTCAGTGCTCTAAAAAGGCTTTTTCTCTTATTTGCTGGCTGGGTTGGCTCAGAAGCGAGCTGGATCTCCTGAGTGGTGGCTGCAGTTGTGGGTGGACATGAGGCAGATCCCAGTGGCTGTGATCTCATACTGGCCCTAAAGAACTGGGGATGTGCGAAGGTCTGCTGGGGTGGGCTCAGGTGCTGTGCTGCTCCTCAGACACTATCTGTTGTTGGGATGCTGCTGTTCACTGGGTGTGTGACCACCTGGGTGCCACCAGCCTGGCTGAGCCCTGGAGCACCGAGCAGTGGCC